TTGATTGATGGTGAATGAGTTGTATGATGTAAAGTTGTTTGTTCAAGTTGTTTAACACCTGATTTATGAAGACATGGTTGTATAAATGATGATGTAAAAGGATATACATGTTGAAATGTAGTAAGTTGAACATGATGTAGAGTTATTAGTTGTTTTATGGTGTCTTAAGTTGATTTTTGATGTTGTTCAATCAAAGTTGTGAACGTTGCAAAGATGTATGAAGTTTACGTTGCTTAAGTTAATATGTTGTAAAGTTGAAAGTTGAACATTGAATAAGTTGCATGTTGTTAAAGTTGTTAAGTTATATATATGTGGATGAGATACATGTCTTAGCAATGATACATAAAAACAAGAGAGGAGTAAAGTTATTTTCAGAAGTTGAATATCTCACTGTGTAGATATATATTGCGGTGCTCTAAAAGTTTGATTGAAACCCTTTAGTAGGTAAGTTGGTCTCTAAATGGGTATTTTTTTTTATAGTTGTTCAGTCTAGGTTTTATGAGGTATTCATGTGTGGACAAAGTCGAGACACACATATATAAAACAACCAACCGAATAAAGCACTAGGTCGAGGACTTAATTCTCCAATTTATTTATTTTTTCTATTAATTAATTTTTATTTGTTTAGAGAGAGAAGGGAGAGACATCATGAGAGATGAGAGAGAAATAAGTTAAAGAAGGAATTTAATAGGAGAGAGATAAATAAGTTAGAGAAAAAATTTATTAGGAGAGAGAAATGAGTTGGAGAAAAAATTTAATAGGAGAGAGAAATGACTTAGAGAATGAAGTTAATAAGAAAGAGAAAATATTTTATTTTTATTTAAAATTAAATTAAATTACTATAATATCTTTTATACAAATTAACCATATCAAAAGAAATGAGTAACTTTTTTGTCCTAAAAATTAGGTGTAGGTTGTTAACATACTCTCACTTTCACTAAAAAAGCTGAATGATTGGCTGTACTTCAACATCTGTAAATGGAAGTGGAATATACGGTTGAGTATGATCTCCCTTGCAAGCCTTGAGTTGTGAAACATGAAACACTGAATGTATTTTGGTTGTGGGAGGAAGTAAGAGCTTGTAAGCAACCAACCCAATCCTTTCAATCACTGGAAATGGGCCAAAATACCTTAGACTGAGTTTTTGATTCTTTCTTAAGGTAACTGAATGTTGTCTATAAGGTTGTAACTTAACCAAAACTAAGTCACCAATATGAAATTCCCACTGTCGCCGTTTCTGATCTGCATACTTCTTCATGTGTGCTTGGGCTTTGATTAAGTTTTGCTTCAATTTATTAAGTGTGAGGTCTCTAGTCAATAGCTACTCTTGAATTGATACAGGATCAGATTGATCAATTGTATATTTAATTAACTTGGGTGGATCTCTCCCATAAACTACCTTAAAAGGTGTCATACGACTGCTATTCTGAAAAATAGTGTTATACTAGAATTCAGGCCAAGGCAATAATTTAGCCCATTCCTTAAGCGACTAATGAGTGAAGCACCAGAGATACACCTCCAGACATTTGTTAAGAGCCTCAGATTGGCCATCTGACTAGGGGTGATAAGCAGTAGTAAGATTAATTGTAGTGCCACTAAGTTTAAACATGTGTTGCCAAAACTGACTAGTGAACACCTTATCCCTGTCAGAGACAATAGTTTTGGGAAATCCGTGTAGCTTTACTACATTCTTAACAAATATCTCAGCCACTTGCTTACTAGTGTAATTAGTCTTCATAGTAAAGAAGTGGGCATATTTGGATAGTCTATCGATCACAACAAGTATCACTGTGAACCCGTGAGAGGGTGGAAGTCTTGTGATAAAATCCATTGCCAAATCATCTCAAATTTGCATTGAAATAGGGAGAGGTTGTAATAAACCAGCTGGTAAAGTAGTCTCACTTTTGGCCTGTTGACAAACTAGACATTGTTGCACAAATTCTTTAACATCTTTATGCATACCTTGCCAATAAAATTGAGCAGCAATTCTGGCCAATGTTCTAGTCACACCAGCATGTCCACCCAATAAGGATGTATGGAATTCATGTAAAATTTGCTTTACCAATTGATGATTGGGAGGGATCACCAACCTGCCTTTCCAGTACAACAAGTGATCCTAGACTGAATAATGAGGGTCTAGTGCTTTATTCTGCAAGCATAATTCCATTGTAGTGTGTAGATGAGGGTCATCTTGAATTACCTCCTTCAATACATGAATAAACTGCAATTTTGGTTCCGAACAAGCCATATAAAAGGACCTTGAGAGTGAATCTGCAGCCAGATTTTTCTTGCCCAGTTTGTATTCGATAGAAAAATCATATCCTAGCAACTTGTGCAACCATTTCTGTTGTTTTGGAGTTTGGATAGCCTAATCAGTGAGGGACTTTAAACTTCTTTGGTCAGTTTTGATCACAAATCTATGGCCGAGTAAGTAATGCCTGAACTTCGCAACTGCCTCTGTAATAGCATAAAATTCTCTTGTATAGGCTGACTGTCGTTGCATTCGAGGAGTAAGTTTCTTAGAAAAGAAAGCAATTGGATGTTGTTCTTGACTCAATACAATACCAATTCCCATGCCTGATGCATCAGTCTCCAATGTAAAAAGTTTGGAGAAATCAGGGAGTGCCAACACTGGTGCTCTGGTAATTGCAGCTTTGAGATTTTCAAAAGTAATAGTGATTTGTTCAGTCCAATAAATTAACCAAAACTAAGCCACCAATATGAAATTCCCATTGTCGCCGTTTCTGATCTGCATACTTCTTCATGTGTGCTTGGGCTTTGATTAAGTTTTGCTTCAATTTATTAAGTGTGAGGTCTCTAGTCAATAGCTACTCTTGTAATTTATGTAAATTTTTGTCACAATTTTTTATATTTGAAATATTATTTATGGCAATTTTGTGAAATAAATTTCAGCATAATTTTATTATTTTTATTTATTTTAAAACTAGTTATAATTAATATTTTATTATGTCATTATAGTGTCAATTTGTTATAATTAATTATTGTTGGAAAGACTTGTAGGAAAATAATATTATATATAGAAATTATTGCATGCAAATAATATAGAAAATGAAAAATTATTTTATGGAGAATTTATGATAAAGTTTTTCGTTTTATCATAAGTGATAATACTTTATGAAAAATCTCATGGAGAAATAATAATGTTGTTGAAGTTGTTTGGAAAGAAATAATAATTTTTAATTATTTTATATAATTTATATTTATGTTAAAACTGCCCATAATTAATACAATTAATGTTTTATTATGTTGTTAGAATTTCAATTTCCCACAATTAATGTTTTTTTTACGTGAATTCAATTATAATCTCTCATATGTGAAATATTCTTTATGTTAATTTGTGAAAGAAAATTTTGCACATTTTTTTATTTATATTATAATTTACGTGAATTTTTGTTACAATTTTCTATACATGAAATATTTTTTACGAAATTTTTGTGAAATAAATTTTAGCATAATTTTATTATTTATATTCATTTTAAAAATACTCATAGTTAATAATTGATACAATCAATATTTTATTATGTGATTACAATTTCAATTTTTTATAGTTAATTTTTTTTATAAAAAGGTTAGTAGAGAAATAATATTATGAAGAAAAATTATTGGACGCAGATAATATAGAAAGTGAAAAAATTATTATAAATAAAATGTTTATCTATTTAATATTTATCATACTTTTGAAAAATATTAATTATTGTATTCAATAGAAAATAATTTTTAATAATTAAAAAAATAATTTAAGAATAATTATTTATTTGATCAACTAAATTAAATATATTTATATTGTGCACAATTAGAACTCTAGTTATCATTATAATTTTGATGGATTAAAAAATATTGTACATAATTCAATAATTTTATCATAATTTAAAATGATTAAACAAATTATTCAACATTTAATTACAAATTAGCTAACAAATATATTTTTAACCATATGCTTTTTGACATAAATAACTTTCAAAGTTTGAGTATACATGCACCAAACTATGGAAAGTTTCTTCAACTGATTCCGCATTAGCCTCTTATGTTTTGTTTGATTTAGAAGAAAAAAATGATTTAAAAAAAAAGTAAAATATGTATATAAAATGACACAAATATCTAAAATCTAAAACAATAATTAAGAAAAAAGTGTATAAAAATAAGGATAATTGACATGTTAATTCCTCAAAAATAATTTTCTCCCTCTTTCTTTCCAAAATAAGCAGATTGCATAAACAATAGGCATAGCATACGCATACTTCTTCTCAAAGAGTAATAAATAATTAATTTAAAAAATTTATTCTTTCACTCGTGAGACAGTTTGACTCTAATTGAGTAAGACTATCATGAATGAAAAAAAATTTCCTTTAAATTTTGAAACAAATGTATATTTAATATTCAAATTTAAAATTATTAGTTTAATTAAAATTCTTTGTGCTATATGCTCGATGATATTCAATATCTAATTTAACACAATTATAATTCAGTTACATATTTATTATGTAAAAAATTAATATGTAATGTGAATTTTTATTTAATAAGATACATAAATATTTTCTCACAAGTTAATAAATGATTTATTATACCAAATATAACATGATTTGACCACATGAATTGAATTCAAATAGTTGATTATATAATTCAGTTACATATAATATTTTCTCAATGATATTAATTAATATCATTAAAGAAAAAGACTGATAATTGATTATAAGACATTGACTAAGAAATAAAAATAAAAGGTAGAAAAATGTTAATAATATTAAAAAATTATTTTCTTCCTATTTTTAATACCATTTTTGGCATCATTTTCAATAAAAAAAAATAAATTGTTCATTAATTTGTTGAAGGAATTGCTAAGACCATGATTAAAATTATGACATTATTATTATGATTGTTATAGGTATTGGTTTAGTTTAAGGATAAAAAATATTTGGATAGGAAGAAGAGATTGTAACAAAAACATGGTTGGCTGGCGGTTAAAAATTGACCCGAGTCACAGAAATGCGTCGGTGATGGTTAACCGTAGGTTTAATGTTAATGTTTCAATGTCTCTACGCAAAAGCCACATAGAAGAGAGAGAAACTAACGACCGCTTTGCTTCCTCTCTCTCTTTCTATTTCTATATATGTGTATGCGTCACACACCCCAATTTTGACACAACACAACAACAAGAGGAACAAGAAGAAGAAGAAAGGAAAGACAGGGCAGAGCTGCAGCCACCACCACCCATGGCTGAATCCGTTTCAGTGGACATGGAGATGATCTTTCTCGGCGGAAAGGTCTCTTTTTTTCTTTCAAGTTTTCATCTTTATCCAAATGGGTTCTTTTTTCTCCAATTTTTCTTTTCACAACACTCATTTGCTGAAAATGATTTCTTTTTTCTCTTTCTTAGTTGATCAATTCATGGGGATGGTTTGTTTTCTTCTCTTGTGTTATGTTTCATTTGAATGTGTGTTTTGCAACCCCAATCCAATGGGGTTATGAAATTTTTTACATTCCATGTCGCTGATCTTTGCATTCCATCTATGCCTTATGGTTTTGTGAATTGTGATTTTCCTTACATTACGTTGAGCTATTTTCCATTTTTGATCCTCTTGGATTTTCTTTTGAGTTTCTGTTATTTCTTTTTTTATTGTAAGCTGTTATTTGGCTTCCTATGTTATTGATTATTTTCTAATTCGGCGCTTGAAAGATGTGTGCAATTATGGATTTAATGATTTTTGGAAGAAATGGATTTTACCTTTGGGTTTGCTGTATTTGATGCGATTTAGAGGATATGGGAAATGGGTTATTGTTTTCTTACACGTACTTTCTTGTTTTCCTTCGCATTTTATTGTTCATCTTCTTTTTGTTTTTTTAGGTGGGGTCCTCGTTCTTTTTCTTTTCCTTTTTTTTTTTTTCACATCCTGTTTTTTATATGATGATGTTCATCGCTTTGAAGGAATTGGATGCTTTGTGCTTTGGCTTTTCCGTCAAATCGGCTCTTTCTAAGTGCATTACAGTCTATTAGAATCATAGCTATGTCTTTCTTAGCCTTTTAATCATCATTGTACTTGAGCCAATTCTAGCTGTTGCTTTATAATTTATATACGTATCGGTTATTTATTAAATTAGGTAAAGGAATTTTATATAATTCATTTTAAGATACTGCCTTCATTTCACTGGCTTTACCTTGTTTTGTTTATGGAACATACAATGATTGGAATCTTGCAGTACTTATTTCAGTTAACTTTTTGAAACTCATGTTAATATGCTAAGGGCCTATTGCTTGTTAGTTGGGGTCATCCAAAAAACGGGTAAGGGCACATGGGCAGCCATATTAGGAAATAAATAATTTGGAGAAGTTTGACACAGTTTTTCATTACTCGGATGGAGTACGTACAAAATAAAGGATATCCTTTGCTTTTCAGGGATGTTCTTTTTTCACTTGAAAGTTTGCTTCAATAGTTGTGCTTTGCCCCACATTTTTTTCTCTCTGTATTTTTGTCCTAGACTTACTTCAGAATATTATTCAGGAGCATCATATTCAAACGGGCTGCGGTTCTGTATCTGTCATAGTCTATGGGGATCCAATGAAACCAGCTCTGATCACTTACCCAGATATAGCGCTAAATTGTAAGTCGAGTAAATTCACTTTTTATGTGTCGTCATTGTAATTCTGATGGATTAAAAAAAATGTCAAATTTTTTAATTTTTCAAAGCTGTTTTAAAATTTATTGCTTGGTTCCTTCTGGACGTGTTAATGCATGTGAGTAGGTTTGACTCTGTCCTCTTAATTTATTATGCAAATCCGAGGCATTAACTTATTTCAATGTATTGAGGCAGATGTGTCATGTTTCCAAGGATTATTTTTCTGTCCAGAGGCAGCTTCTTTGCTACTTCACAACTTTTGCATATATCATATCAGTCCTCCTGGACATGAGGTTTGTAAGTTGATCTACTTGAATGCATTTTTATTGCATTTAAAATTAAAATTATTTACTTAGTTTATGTGGAACTTCCACAAGAGTTCTTGCAGTTGGGAGCTGCAACAATTTGTTCTGATGATCCGGAGCCTTCTGCTGAAGACTTGGCAGATCAAATAATTGAAATTCTCAACTATTTTCGGTAGTTATAATATCATTACTCTGTTTTTTATTTTATTTTATTGTTAGCTTTCATTTTTTGAAACTGTTCCATATATTTGAGAACACATCCATTATAGAAAGTGGTTAGTCTAGTGCTGTTCTTTTCGTAGTTATTCCCTAAAAATAAAAGGGAGCTAGAGAACACTGCATATTTTGTGGGAAAAATCTAATGTATGTCTATATTTACTGATTGCATGAACTATTTCCTTGTACAGGCTTGGTGCAGTGATGTGTATGGGAGTATCGGCTGGTGCATATATCCTTTCGCTCTTTGCAGTATGTACCTTTTTCGGCTTTGAAGAGAGACATGTTAACCAATTATTATCTCTTAATGGTTTTTTTTATTTAAATACTTATAGTTGTGTGTGATAAGTTTTGATATGAGTTCAATCTTATATTGTTTTTATTTTTACCTATTTTGATGCAGACAAAATATAGGGAGCGTGTTCTTGGTTTAATACTTGTATCTCCCTTGTGCAAAGCTCCTTCTTGGACTGAATGGTTTTATAACAAGGTTCCTTTCAAATGCCAGCAGATTATGCATTCATGAGTTCTCTAGTTAGATCACTTTACTAAAACTGCTTCAAATCTTAGGTCATGTCAAATTTGCTAGATTTCTATGGTGTGTGTGGCTTGCTGAAGGAGTGTTTGCTCCAGCGGTACTTCAGCAAGGTATTGTAGTGCAAGGATCTTAGCACTTGTGTATTTCCTCGTATATTTACCATGTTACGAGTTTTCCTGGTTGACTTTAACAGGAAGTTCGCGGTGATGCTGAATTTCCAGAATCAGAGATAGTTCAGGCCTGCAGAACAGTCAGTGCTAAGCTAATTTAGTTCCTCCCCCTATACTGACTCAGCTGATAAATAATTCTTATTTCCTTACTTTTTCTTCTCATCTCTGCTGCATTTACCTCACTATGCGCTGGTTCTCTCTTGTTTCAGCTACTAGATGAGAGAAAGAGCATCAATGTCTTACGGTATCTTCATGCTATCAATGAGTAAGATCTGCTACATAGTTGCTTCAACATATTTCTTTATTTATTTAACCGAATTAGCATATTTATGTCCTCCAACTTTGTTTTGCTAACTTGCAGGAGACCTGATATAACAGATAGATTGAAGAGACTAAAATGTCGTACACTTATTTTTGTTGGGGACAGTTCCCCTTTCCATTCCGAGGCTCTTCATATGACTTCAAAACTTGACAGGAGATATACTGCCTTGGTTGAGGTACATAGTGTAAATAACATAGAAATTGTTTGGATACAATTTTAAAAGTGTTTCTGAAAGTTTCTCTACTAAAAATAATGTGTTTTTTTTTAGCATAGAAACTCTCAAAAACATGTTTTGAGTTTGTATCCAAATAGACTTATAATTGGCTTGACGCTAGATTTATGAGATCCCCAATATAGTTTCCTTGGTCTATATGATTCTGTATAGAAACTATTGTTGATTATGAATGGATGCACACATAGACATTTTGCATAATATCATTTACTATGTGGTGGGGGAACATTCATAAGTATACATAAACTAGGTTTGAGAGCGAGTTGATTTTTCAGGTCCAGGGTTGTGGATCAATGGTTACAGAGGAACAGCCACTTGCAATGCTGGTACCTATGGAGTACTTTCTAATGGGGTATGGGTTGTATAGGCCATGCCATTTAAGTGGCAGCCCAAGGAGCCCTCTTAGCCCATCTTGCATTTCTCCTGAGCTTCTTTCTCCAGAAAGCATGGGATTGAAGCTAAAGCCTATAAAGACACGTGTTTCGCGGCAAGTTCGATGAGGGGCAGTCAGACATTTACATATGTAATTTAAAGCAGCCTTTCTTCTTCTATCTGATTTTTCTAATTTTTTGATGAACTGAGATGAATAGAGAGGAGATGGCGGGTTGTAGATAGAAAGTGGAGTTGAGAATTCGTGGTATGGAAAGATAGGTATATTTGTGTTCATTCTTTTGTTGTCAGTCATAAAGGAATCACTGAGTTGTATATGTACATTACATATGGACTCCAAACTTATTTATGGTGACGAGCAATCAATAATTCAGAGTCTCCTTGATTTTTTACACATGCTTCCCACAGCTAGAAATATCTTTTATTTCTTCCTTTCAGACACGTAACTACCATTTTGATTCTCTTGTTTTTTTTTTTTAGTTACGCTATTTATTCATTTGTTCAATGTTAATACAGGACATCTATTTAGAATAAATTAAATTTAAAACGAGGGATGATGAGTTACCACGTCAATTCCATCTCATTCTTTTATTTCGTCACACCAGCAATTTTAATCATTTCAAGTTCATTTCTTGACTTTACAACTTCTAGCGTTTGGTATGTCCCAACTAATAAAACTTCTGGCCTGTTACTAAACTCTTGAGTGTCAAGACTACTTTATTTCAATTGGCTAAATTACAAGGAAAGACCATTTTTTTATGACTATGCTCGAAATAGTTCAATCAAAAGTGTTAGAGCGCGGCGGCCCCTAAATTGAATAATGGTTAAAGATTTAAATAATTTGCAAGATTCTATGATTTTTTTTTCTTCCCATAATTTTTATACTGTGCATTCTATAGTTTGCAAGAGAAAAAATGGGAATCTTTCACATGAAAGATCAGAAAAAACTTGCAATCAGTATTATTATATGTATTATTTTCCAATCAAAATTAGAATTTCACTTCGATAATATACATAAATAATTTCATTAAATATCATCAAAATAAAATTTTAATTTCGAATGGAGAACAATACTTATAATACTATATCTAAGTTCCTAAAACCGTCCTTTTAGAATACATAATTGTCTTCTTCATTTATGCAGATTCATTTGGACTTGCATTTCCAAATTACCAACAGGCAAAAGTAAAGAAAATGTGAGCCACAGAAAAGGAAAAGGTCAATTCACTTCCAAATTCCAATTGGTGGACTGTGGATACCAAATTTAAGCCTTAATATCACAATATTACTAACATAATATAATACAAGAAAGCATAGCAGCTTAAGAAAGATCCAGTGCAACGCAATGTGACTGCACCTAAAACTTGCTAGAGCCTGCCTGAACTATAAATTAGCAAAGCAGTGAAACATAATGCTAACAAAACTGATGAGGCAGCATGCAACTTCTCACCGCCTCTTGGGACCCCTCTAATCATGTAAAGGATCCTTAATGCATTATATAATAACAAGGAACTGTGGCACCTTGTTTAAGACAGATAAAAGCTTGTTATTCTAGCTTATGCATCTGGATCCGAAATAGGATCCTCAATTTCACTCTCACCACTTGAACTATCGTCTGCAGCTGAAGTCCCAGCTTTGACTGGCTCAGAGCTTTGAAGGAGGTCATACTTGACAAATTTAATTCTCTTTTCACTGTGTTTTCCTTTCCGTTTTTGAACTCCATTGTCGGATAACTTCATAGTTTGGGCAGCAGCTACAAATGCATCACTAATCAATTTGTTTTGCTTATCATTGTCGCCTGTTTTTCCCTCTTCCCCAATATTATCAACGTAAAAAAGGTCATCATCTACTATCTTGCCCTCCAAGTTACTTGCTGGGTGCTCAGCTTGGGAAATATCAAGACCTGATGTAGCATGGTTTTTTAAAATATCATCTTCAAAAATTCTGATCCCTCGATTCTCAAGGCTCAGCAGCCAATCTAGCAAGTTGATTGAACACAATGAATTGATGAAATATGTTAGGTGTATAATGCATTGAAACCATTTTTCAATCCTAAATATAAGTGCCATATCTACTTACATGTAAGAGCTTTGGGGGAGGATCCATTCTCTCTGCCAGCTTTTCCCTCCAAACCATTCTGGCTTGTAGCCCATTTAATTATTTGCAATGGCATTCGAGAAGCAGAAAATGCCTTAATATAAGAGACAGCTCTATTCTGATCACCAAGGCCCCTACATTAAGACAGAATTAGAAATTACCTTAAGAAAGGACTAAGGAGTAACGACAATGAGACAACTAAATATACATAATATAATAATTAATTCGTAGTAGTATACCTAAAATACTCTACAGCCTCATGAGTAACAATCAACCTGGTCAAGGTAAGGCCTTTTATATACTTGGCATTTAGATAGAGGAAAGGGTACTCCACCAATAGTATAACATCGAACAGAATTTTCCTCGATAGAATTTCATCTTCAGGTTTCTGCTCGGACAGCAATAGAGGAACTACTTAGAATCCCGACATTCTGATAAATGTGCAAGTGATAGCCCTTGCCCATAAAATTATGGTATTGGACTTTTGTGCAATGGAGATGGGAACAAATGCCTGCGGTGATTACTTATTGCAGTTGCAGATGTGAAAGCAATGACAACATCTTTTGGGAAATATTGTACATTGATGAAATACTAACCAGAATTGAGTTCAGAGGCAAAGGTGTCTCTAACGCTGTCCTCATAAGGATCTCTGGTTGCACAAAAGATAAATCCACATTAAACTAGGAACCAGAAAAATGAGAATCCAAGTAAGAGAAAAGCTAAATTAAATGATCAAGTGCTTCAAATCTGAATTCTTCCATGACCCAGCTAAGTTGCATAGTGAAAATGTTTAAAAACAAAAGACATAAGTAAACTGGTCCATAGAAGTTCATGCATCTCAGAGGACACTATATTGCAGAGCTATAGCTTTATGGCTATACTCAATTGCTTGAACTACTATAAGTTTTTGCCCTGCGAGCTTGCATATTTAAAGTCACACTGACATGGATAAGGAAAATAGCAGGAAATTGAACTATAAACCTAAAACAAAACCTTACTGACCCAAAAAGTATGTGTTCTGAAAACTAGATATTGAGCCAACTGCCCAACTCTTCAGATTCTTTTCCAATTCACCCCTAGATATTGGCAAGTGAAAAGACAGGCAAAGTTTCAAGAAAAACGATTCCATTATAACTGCACCAGCCAAGTAACCAACATGAAACTCTCTAGAACTAATCCAGTCACAAACATCACAGCTCACAAGAGGCAACAAAGATCTAAACCCATCATCATTCGTGTCCACCCAAACACGAGCCAAATCAGTGAAGGGCACACTAACGGAATCAGGTTCCTCCTCACAAATCTTCATACCACAGCAAATGCCTATATATCCAAGAACTACATCCACCAAAGACTTCACCTCCCTCATTGCTTTCTTCTCTCTCTTCAATCTCAACTCCCTCCCAAACAGCTCCACAATTACTCCGTGCACCGCGAAAACAACAGGAGCCATCAAAGCGATGCTCTTTGAAGCACATACAGAAGCTGAACACTCCGACAGCAACTGAAACAATTCTTTTGCGGCCAATACTCTATCCAAGGCATCACCTTTCTCTGGGTTGCGGCCACGAAAGTTAGTTGCAGTGTACACCCATATCACCTCGAAGGGTGCGTCAACTTTCGCTTGCAGTAATTCATAAAACGCATCGACGAAAGGAGACAAATCAGGGGATTCTTTGGGAATCTCAGACAAAAGGTCCTGCATTGAATTTCTGAGCTTGAGAGCGTAGCTTTCACCCACGAGAGGGACCGAACCTGTGATCTCCATTAGGGTAGAGGAAGAGAGAATGCTTAAACGATGCTCAACGAACAAATCTGATTTCTAGGGTTTATGAGAGAAGGGTTTTAGACTTTAGTATGATTGGACCCGGTTCGAATCGGTTTTAGGTCTAGTTTTGTTGTGCATTGACTCCTACGTGGACTACAGAAAATTGGGATTATATGGCAAAATTCGAAATCTGAATCTTAAATTAACAGAGTACTACGTGTTATCTTGCTCCTTATTGGTAGAGAATGTGGGATCCACCGCTTTTGGACCAATCACATGCCCTAAAAATGTGTTTTTTAAGCGTGTAACAAAATCAAGAATTTAGCTTTATTTTATTTTATTTTAAGAGCATATATATTGTCTGTGGGTTTATTTGGGGTGTTACTGACGTACCCACCAAATCGTTTCGTCAAATTTGGTGTAAAATTTGATCTTTCTAAGGATCAGGTAGTGGGAAGATGAAGGGAGTGTTATGGGTTGTAGTTGTATCAGTGGTGGTAGCAGCATGGATGCCCCTTTCACACTCTTCCAAGAAACCGGTGGGTGTCGCTAGAAAGGAGGACATTCCTTACATCAAGTGCCAAGTGTGTGAGAAGCTCGCCAAAGAGTTGTATCATCAGGTTCAGAACAAGAGAACTGAGATCGCTCCCAAAAAGGTTTTTTTCTTTGGATTGTTTTTTTCTTTCTTATTCTTAATTACTTCATTCTATATGTTTCGTTGGTTGGTAAGATGTTTGTGGTGGAGATGGAATGATTTTGTGTGTTTTTGTGTGCAGATCTCGGAGTACCAGATCATTGAGATAGCGGAGAATGTTTGTAATCTGAAAAAGGTAGAAGCGGATTGGATATTGCGCATTGATATTGTGGAGAAAGAAGATAGGCTGGAGGTAACATGATTCAACTTGTTTGATTAATCGCTTGTGGAATTTTTGTTTCGAGTTTGACATTGCTATGCCATTTTCCCACCTTTGTTGCACCGTGAACTATCTTTGGATTGTGAATGAAATAGGTACTTTAAATAAATGTGTTGGTTATATCGAGTTTGTGACGTTGTTTTTCCAACTTTATTTCTCATTTATCAGCTGGTGGAACAAGACTCTGAAGGACAATGCAATTCTGAATGCAAGACAATTGAGCGAGCCTGTCACGATGTACGTATGGTCTTTTCTGCCTTTTACTGGGTGCTTTTGTTTTTAACCAGTAAATTACACTACACCTTGGCATTTGATTCTCGAAATGGCAAAATTATGAGAGTAGAAAAAAAAAAAAAAAAAAAAAAGGAAGAAGTTTCACATGATATTTATTCTCAATTAATTAAGACCACTATGTTGATGTTGTAAGCTTGCTGCACTGTTCATCATCTGAATTGTACTTTCTGTGCTGGTTATTCATATCCTCATTTCAAGGTGGTATCTTGGTAAGGACTCCGATATATTATTATTGAACCGTATCTTGAACATGTTTGTTCCAAACTAGGATACTAGTAATAATGGATACTGGAGACTAGCACCTAAGAAGCTCAGCATCAGCAATAATACTCTGAATGTAAAGAAAGAAAATAGAAAATAAAAGATGTAAATTGAAACAGAAACATTAATGGGGATTGGATCTAGCAGAAGAAGATCCCTCACAATGCGGTGAACAGCAATTTAAATCTCTATAGGGAGAGATGCTCACATTTAGTATTGATCCGTATCTCAAACATGATTGTTTTCAAATGAGGATACATGTTAAAAACCAAAAGGCTGAAACAAAAACAAAAGAACACAATAGGGTCCCAAGAGGAATTCCTAATAATCGACCCTCCTAATTTTTCTCACAAAAGCCACAACCCCTTAGGACCCCAAGCCATGATCCTTTTCGCCTCTCCTCTTCATACTATTTCCCAATCATTCCCCCTGATTATCTCCATTCATGACCTTTCAGCCGCCCTTTTATATAACAGAATCCTCCTCTTGTCCAACCTCCGGAACTGGTCCATCCAGTCTCCTAGGGCCCATTCATTCTATATGTTGGCTAGAGGTGTATCATATCCTATAAATTTTTATGCTGGAATTTTTGTGATTACTAAATTGGTAATGTGGAATTTGCAGGTTATAGGATATTCTGATACCGATGTTGCTGAATATTTATATAGTTCCAAGCCAGATATTGAGTCATTGCTCAATTATCTCTGCAAAGACCTTACTAAAGCATGCAGTACCAAGCCGCCACCTGTCCCTAAGGTAGTCTGGAATTAATTCTTCTATTAACGTGTTTATGATTGGCATACAGCTTGATTAATGCATCGAAATTGATTGTGATAAATTCCAATCTTCTTTTTTGTGGTATTAAGTTTGTGTTTGCTGTGCTTCGGCCACTGCCTGCTATAATAGAATATCGTACTTGTCTGCTGTATAAATAAGTTTTATGGGCCACCATTGTGATGGTTATCTTGCTTTGTCTCATATAGTTCCTGCACTTTGTTAAGCATTCAACTTGAGTTTGTGGGTTTATTGTCAAGCATGAAAAATAAAAATGGTAAACAAGAAAGTTGAGTATGTGTGATGGCACCGCTGGTGGCCTGGGTAATAAAATCTGAGTATGGTAGTTTTTTTTTAAGTATAGAAGTTGCCTTCTTACAGCATGTTTGTTTCTGCAGTGAGAAAGTTTACCGTGTGTATTTTACGTGAAAATTCCAAAGTGATACCCGCTTTGCAATCACTGATTCACTATGATTGTTAAATTGATTTTTTTACAGCCCGCCACTTTACCAAACATACTTAAAAAAGTTCTTTGCAAACTTCTTTCTTGATTTAGAATTTATTTTTTTCAAGGCCAGGACAGGCATTAATGCAATCATGAAGTACTTTTCTGTGCCAATAAGTGTTAATTCCTGAGCAAAGGATTGTACCCAATTAGCTATTAGCTATTTTCTATATACTTATGTGTTAAACTTATATATACTCGGAATTGGTTTTTGACCAGAAATACTGCTTCTCCCTCGACCCTTCCCTTTAATTTTTGATTTTTGATAAACAAACATGAATTAGTTTCTTTTTTTCTAAAATCTCTAAAATCTAATTAATAGATATTTTACATCATAATCATTTTTTTAATCTGTAACAAATTAGTCCTAAATTTCCCCTTCTTTGGATCATGTAGTTTTGAAACTAGGACGTTGTTTCTGCAATGATTAGCATTATTGTTTGAGTATAAGAATTCAGATTATGTACTAGAGCTCTTATTGGTAGATCTTATTAGTTTCCTCATTAGGAGATCTGTTTGAGTGTTGCAGGACAGGATTCCTGGCGAATCATTTGTTGCAAAGTCTTCTAAGGAGGCTGAAATGGAAAAGATACTAAAATCAATGGAGGTATTTTACTTTGTATTTTCCTTGTTTTACATTTTAATTTTATGCTCACATTATGATCATACTGTATTGTGTTTAATTCTGTTTCAGGGCATGCCAGGAGCACCTGGCATGAAAATGTATTCAAGAGATGATTTGATGAACATGAATAATCTTGGAGACGAAGATGGTGATGATGAAGATGATGACGATGAGGATGAGGCGAACTTCCCATCAAAATTGGTACTACTAACTGTCCCTTTCCCTCATATTTGATTGAAATACATTGAATATAAACTGACGGTTAGAGTAAACTGAATATTGTAGGGGAAAGTTTTGAGAGCAAAAGAAAGTGGAAAAAAAGACTGGAAACAGACGATAAAAAAGAGAATTGCCGACACAAGCATGACACTGAAAAAACATGCAAACAAAGTTTCTAATCATGTACGACAGTGGTGGAGGGGAAAGAAGGCAACCACTTCAAAGAAGGGAGGGAAGACAGAACTTTAGTGATGATAATGTAGCTCCTGAGTGTTGAACAAATGTACAACATCCCCACCCCGTTTGGTTACTGGTATGGTACTGCACCAAAGATGGATAGGAATTTGGAAGGGAATCAAATGAGGACTTCATAATCACCAATTAGAATGATTTGTTTTCCAGTCCAGGATTTGCTATCTCATGTATTGTAGCGAGTCAATTGATGTCTGATGATGTGTTTTGGTGGCTGCATGCTCACTAACCTTTTCAGTGGATAGAGGTTACTTTTGACTCTTGAGATTTAATCACGGATATTTCTATACAAGTTTTGGAAACTTATTCTGTCTTCAGAGGTATTGTTTAGCAAAAAGTTAGCTGAAAAATGAAATTTTATGTTTAATTGAAAGTTCTTAAGTTGGTTTTGTTGAATTAGATGTATGTAATAAAATTAACTATTGAATTCTTATTATTATGTTTCAAACTTAATTTTTTTTATTGAATGCTAAAAGTAAATTGTATAATAATCAAATAAATATTGTATACTTAAAGATGTAATAAACGACAAAGTTTTACTATGGATAAAAATGAAGAAAAAAAACATTTAAGTTAAAACAATTAAAAGTGTCGAAAAAATATTGTATAAAATTTATTTATCAAAAATATTCTTATTTTGGCTAAATACGTCCAAGTTAGTCAAATAAATTATACATTTATTAAAATTATTCCCCAAATACACTATATTCTAAAAGTACCTACTTTACTTTCGTGTTTAATGTTACTTCTACTCAAATAATATTTATCGAAGTCCTTTGCATTTGTTTGTCAGGTTAGAGTAGCAATAAACACACCTGAATTTCCTCATAATTATGTTGATACATAGGTGCCAGGTGCAAAATAGTAAATAGCAAATTGCTCGACAAAGGTGAATATTTGATTGGAATCAATCTCCAACAAAAATCTGGTGTTATCCCAAAATCCATTGAATTATTAAATAAAAAAATCTAATTTCTAAGATTTTACATTTTCGTTTACTATTTTTATGAACTCGGCATTACTCATTACTCATCTCATAATTTGAAAAGCAAATCCATCCTGATAGAGCCATGATTAAAAAAATGATATTAAATTAACTTGAACATAGTAGTGCTTTGCAGTGAAGAATATATTTCTAAACCTTTCTTAAAACCCTTGGCCTCGGCACATATAAAGATTACAATTTGCAAGTAATCACGTGGTAATAGGACATCGAGATGTAGCAGTTTTCATTTAGTACTATTATTTTAGCTTATGATCAGATTGCAGTAGTACTGTCCGTAAATAGAACCCTTGCAGTTCAGTACATTTGATACTTCCTAAGTACGGCAATCTATTTGTTGATGACATATTGTCCTCTGGCCAAAAGGGGGAACAAAATAAATTGTAGACAATAAATAGATTCCAAATTTTATCATTACATGGGGAACTTAATTGAGCAAAATTTTAAGAATTCAAATAAAATAGCAAACAAGTTACAACCCTTAAAAGGCAACCTCTATTTTAAAATAGAAGCAGCAATTGTCAAAATCTTACAAATTACAAATTGGAGTAATAGCAATGCGAAAACAAGACTCAATAAACCAGGTTCAACGCATCTTGTAGTACTGAACCCTTGAAATATTGCATCGCTTTCCATTCAATGAATACTTGAGCATGATATCAACATCACGAGGATTCTTTTTATTTGGAGCAACTGTCATGCTCCCTACAATTGCCTCCCCCTCACATATGGTCAAGACATCTTCAAGGTATAGGACTGTTTGTTTCCAATGTGTTGCTCGTGATCTTGGCCCTGCATTAATACAAAAGGTGAGTAGTCCCCACACACTGGAGTACTGGTTTAACAAACTTGGCACAACCCCACTAAGAAGGAATTTCCTAACTAATATACAACAAATCATGATAAACAATAAAAAACGTGAAAGAACTCTACTACACAAGTTTGGCAACCAATTTTTGGAGTAAATAAATTCACCAAAGTTCAAAAGAAATGCCAGTTTTATTTAGTTTAGTTCAGAACAAATGTTGAAATATGATGAAATTTTGCATGCAAATTCAAAGACACCATAGAACCAACTTTGTTTATATTCTCCCCTTCATTTTCAGAAGCCAGACCTTTAAAACTTTATCAAGAACTAGAAATTGATATTATAAAATAATATTTTTGCCAATTAACAGATTACATGACAGCAAGAGCAACTTTACTCACAACTCTAAAATATAAAATGGACAAAACCAAAGCCTTAAATGAAGTTAGGAAGTGGAAAGGAATTGACCTGTAGAAAAGCCCATCAATTTATGACACTTTGTAAATGACACGTCAAAATATGCAACAAGTGCGTGAATATAGTCATCACGTTCAGCTACAAGCTTAAAAGGTGCTGTGAATAAAGCATCCCCAGGAGACATCTTTGAGATATCCATTGTCTAAACAAAAATGAACCAATCAGTGCATATCTTCAAAACAAAAATAAAATTTTCCAGCCAAATCATAATGAAAAGTTGTGTCACGAAAGTTTGTATGAATCATCCAATGCAAGGTATAAATATAAGAAACTGCAGGAACTGTCATTATCAACCCACCTTGAGTAGCTGGCAGTTTGTAGCTAACTGATTCTGGTCAACTGTGTCAACAAGAGGCTCCATTATGGCTTGCTTCTTGATGCAGCTCATGTCAAATCCATACACATTGTTCCAAACTGATAAAGAAAATGAAAATACAATATAAATAAATGCGCAACCAATTCAATGAATGCCATTTTTTTTCCATAGAGTTGCAAATTTCAAGCCTTTTCAACACTTTCCCATCGCAGTAATGGAATTGATATCAATTCTTTAACTCCACATGCAAAAAAAGAAAAATATACAAAGTAAACATTTATTAAGTTGTGTGCTGGCATGATTTTAAATTGTGGTCCACGACTGCAATTGCAGCCAAAGCGACCGCAATTTAGAACCATACATGCTGGTTAGGGAGGTAAATAAGAACCAGTTTGGATGTCTTGTTAATTGCATGTATGATAGACACGTATACTCATATTTAACAAGGTCAATAGCTCACACTCAATTTTATCATCTTTGTAGTCTGCATCCTCAATGGCAGTGAGATAGAGGGATGCTTTATCTGGTAACACAACTCCATCATCCACCTAACCAAAATGAAAAATAGAGGAAGTCTCAAAATGATGACCACACCATTCGATCACAAGCAAGTATAAGCAACTAAATATCAATCAAAGCAAGCAACACAACTTACAAGCCATTTGTCACGTGCATAAAGCACAGAATTTAACATATTCTCAAACAACAAGAAATACCCCATCCATTCTGAAATGATTATATCAACTTTAGCAACTGGAAGTTCAATTTCTTCAATCTTTCCTTTCAAAACTGTTACGACTGTAGAAAAAAAAACATTATATCAATTAAGTGAGTAGCTTTTGCAATTAATCCACGTTTTCTACAAATGAATTAGATACAACATATAAATGGCATCACCATTAGAGTAACCATTAGCTTCAACAATTTCCTTTGCCATGTCGGCCATATGGGAGCACTCAACCTGAGTTTGCAAATTTAAAAATAATTCAATAAATATTATCCGAAATGCATAATAATTTATAAATCACAGGTATTTTCATGATTGAGAACACATAAAGCATAAATGGAAAACTAGATACGTACTGCATAAACGTGTTCTGCCCCTGCTTTGGCACAAAATAGTGATAAAATCCCAGTCCCAGCACCCACATCAAGAACTACTTTATTCTTGAATAAAAACTTATTCTGATAAATAACATTTTGATACGTCTTGGTTCTCACGGTGTCCTTCAACATTTCCTGCAAGGTAAAAATAGGTTATATTATAACATACCTCCCTATGAAGTGTGAAAAACAGTTAAATATTTGAAATTTGTTTTTCCTTGCTATTCATATAATTGCTTAGACAAGCTGCAAATGGAAGAAAAGAATAAGAAATTTAAACTTCAAACGAACACCATATTGCATCCAGTTGAGCAGACTTACTTCGTGAATACCTACAAGCACAGACACACAGAAAATGTAAAATAAATTGAGTAAAGGAGTTTACTTAAGAACAAAACAAACAAAATGCATGAGAGTCGTTGAGCAAGTGCAGAAAAGAAGTGTGAGAAAGATACCCAGATGAAAAAGTTAAGAACTTGGCGCAAAAGAATTTGAAAATATACCAAAATGAGAATATGAGTCGAAGTAATAGTCGGCGCTGGTTTTATCATCGGAGTCGTCGATATGACACATGGATTGGTCGAGGTTGGAACTCTCGTCGACAGGCTCGTCAGCGTCTTCAAAGCGATGGTGGTTATTCATGTTAGTGTCTTCCTTGCTTGAGGAACTCTGATTGTTGTTCTTTCGCCGACCCATCAACTTATTCTCTTCGCTTCACCCTTTCATTCCAAAATTAGGGTTTAAGGTTAAGCAATGTCACTGCTTTCCTTTCAGCTTTTTTCTTTTCCCTTTGTTTTTATATTGACCAATTGTGCTTTCATAAATTTAAAAATAAATTCTTCTTTTCAAAAAATTCCTAGGTTTTCCATTATAAAATCTGTATTATGATAAATATTTTATATTATTAAATAAGGTTATTTTAATTATTGATAAATTCTTTTAAATATTAAATTTATTTTAAAAATAAAAAATATATAAGAAGTTCAAAAAATACAATATTTTTGTAAAAATATTTTCACTTCCTACAACTAAAAAATTATCAAATAAGTTTTTAAAATATCAAATAATTTTTTAATTTAATTATTTACTGTTATTTTAATCTTTAAATATATATATATATATATATTAATATTATCACTTTGTGATCACATTTTTTTTTAATTTTAGATTAATATGGTTGTGAATATACATTTTTGAGGACGTATTTAATAATTTCTTAATTGGGGGACTAATATAATATTTTTCAAATTTATAGATTAATTTGGATATATATTCAAATGCATTTACATATTATATAACTGAAATATGTACATAATTTAGATAAAAATGTCCTGTTAATAATAATAAATTTACATTACATTTTGTGATTATAAAAAATGAAATCACTTTTAAATATATTTCATCATAAAAAATGAAATCACTTTTAAACTCACATTTAATAATAATAATAATAATAATAAATTATATTTTAATATCCACATATACTTAAATTTTAAACTTTGATATTGTGTTTATAATTTTTATGATTTGGAGAGTTGAAATTATTTTATAATATAAAATAATAATGAATATAATATTAAATACAGTGAGTCTTATTTTACTTTTGGTCAGTAAATCAGTAATTAAGAGGTGTATAAATTATTTTCTAACAATTTCAAGTTGATTTTTTTAATCACGTCTAAAAACATTTTTAAAAAAAACACGGACTAAGTAATCATTTGAATCTATTCACTATAATCATAAAGTAAAGAATAAAAAATTCATTATAATATAAAGAATTTAAATTTTAAAAGTATAAACAAAGTGGAGAAAAATATAATACTTGTTAATAACATGTTAATAATATGTCAACAGATGTGCTTAAGATGATGTATAATATTTAACACTTGATGTCTCCAACTTTATAATCAAAATTCATAATTAAATGTATAAAAAAAAGGTAGAAATGACAAATAAAAAAATTTATTTTCGTCTATATATACATAACCAAACACATAATCATTTATATTTTTCTCAATGGTAAAAAAAACATTAAAGAGAAAAGACATAAACAATCGTTTAAGAAAAAAAATCAACGATCTAATTACAATTTTTAATTAGATTTAGAGAGAAAAATGTATTTCCCAAAATGTCCATTAGCATACCAATGGAAAAGAGCATATCATACAATAATTTATGCACAAAACATGCATAAATAAATGCAATTCAAAATGTAAAAAGTATATATATCAGGGGAGTTTTAATTAAATGTCAATTTAATTAATGAATAATATTGTATTATAAATCCTCTCAAAAAAAATATTTTATTATAAATGAAAAATGACAACATTAAAATTTCAAGCTAATGCCTGAAATTACTAATTTTGGAAAATCACTTTTGGTAGATTTTTATTTTAATAATAGTCTGCAAATATTTTATAGTTATAATTAATTTTTATATATTAAATGCAAACGAATTTGATAGATAAAAATGTTTTTAGGTGTTATTCTATAAAAGTATTTGTAGCAATTTTTATATTTTTTTATCTAAGTTAAATTTTTTATCATATTTATTTATAAATTAAAATTTAATATTTTAAAATAAATTATCAGTGATAAAAATTATTTTATGTCACAATATAAATTATTTTTCTCATATCTAAAATATAATTTATATATTTTAGAAAAATATTTATATAATTTTTAAATATAATTTATATATTTAAATATAATATTTATTTATATATAATTTATAATTATATATGATAAATATTTATCCTGTGAAATGTATAGGTCAAAATATTAGTATTTAGACTTAAAAATATTTTTTATCTCTTGAATATCATAACTACATGATTTTAGTCTCTTAAATTTTAATATTCCAAGTATCGTAGTTGTACAATTTTGATTCTTTAAATTTTAATTAAATAATTTTAATTTTAAAGTATTGAATTTGTATAATTTTAGTCATTTAAATATGTCAATTATATAAACTTTGACCTATTTAAGTTATATATATTATTAATTTTAGTAATAATAAATATTCATCATATAATTATGATAGTTGAAGAACTTAAATTGCTCAATTTAAATTTAAAAGATCAAAAATCATAAACTATAATATTTAAAGAAACTATAATCGTTCAATTTGAACATTTAAAATTAAAATCACACAATTATAATATTTAAAAGATTAAAACCAAATTAAGACTAGTACTTATAGAAAGCCATTTGATCGTTTGTAATTCATAATTGTATCTTGGTTGATTTTAAAATTTAATATAACCTAAAATAGACTTAATTATAATTTTCATTTAATTTGGATTATATGTGATTTTGATATCTTAAGATTTTTTCATACTAATTAAATATTTTTATTATAGGTCATCAATATCACTCTATCCAAAACTTCTAAATTATTATTTTTATTAAATATTGATGAATTTTTTTGTGAATTTGGGATATAAAATTATTTTAAAATTTATAACTCAAATTTAATAGTAAAATTTACAAAATTTTATAAAGGTTTGAGAAAGAGATTTTTGAGTTTTTTTTTATGCTTCAATTTAAAATATAATAAGCATGTTTGATTTTTAAATTTTAAAACTGTTTAAATAATAAAAATGACTAAATTTTTCTAACTTTCAAAACTAAAGAAACTATTTTTTTTTCTTCAAAAAAAATAAAAAGATTAGCTAAACACCAAACACAATGTGAGATTGAAACCAGCCACTGTTACAAATAGTGGGTTTAGGCCCATTTCAAATGCACACTGGATATATATAACGTGTATGTTCTTATAGCTTGAAGCTTTAATTGGGCTCTCGAAATGTGGCATTTCGCACGTACCCCCTTTTCTTTTCTAAACATCACATAACTTGCTAAAAAACCTATATATTGATAATTTATTATCTTACTTTACGACTCATATCAAAATCTTAATATAATGGCTCATTGATTTAACTGTATGATATATATATATATATATATATATAT